CTTTAACTTCACCTCCACAGCCTAAACTCTCTGTCAAAGAGTGGATTGCTTCTCAAGTCACAACTCATGCTGCTGCTGCTGCTTTTTGTGTGTGTCTGTCTATACATGATTACTTTTGTTGTTATTTAGCACCGAATAATGGCCTTATGGTCGGTGTCTTTGGATTACTATACTATTCCTTGGAATAAAAGATGGTTTTTGGGACCATATACAACGTTAATCTTCTTTTGATTCTCAACATCATTCAAATACATGCAACCATGCAGTTGAATGTTAATCTTGCAATTAGTCCTTCACACCACAACTTGTTATTAGGACAGCCATGCAATTGCTATCAAGCAAAAGAATACTCTACTACTGCATCTTTTCCAGCTACATATCGTGGACTTGTGGTTTAGCCATCGATTCATGGCAAGGGCCTTGTCTTTCTAAGGTCAATTCATGGCAAGTTGCACAAGTTAAGGAATAAAATTTCCCCTTTAGTAGGCTTCCTTCTCAACTATTCTTACTCCAGATGTATATCAAAAAATATATACTACGGGATGACCTTCACACAAATCATTCTGAATTCAAATCTGTATTTTCGCTTCTTAAATTCCACCTCCCCTCATTGGAAAAAAAAAAAAAGAAAATGAAAAAGTAAGAGGTTGGCCTTCATGTTCTAATCGCTCAAAATTTTATTTGGGCTGCAGCAACGGACACCCCTAGATCGTCTGCCCAAAATGAGGCCATCGAGATGATTTAAGCAGTAGCAGTGTTCAATGCTCGAAACTTCCCTTAGCAACATGGAAATATTTCGCAAGACACGGCTTCCCCTGTAGCTCAATTCTTTTTTTTTTTAAAAAAATAATAAGTCACGCTCATTATTTTTCGGAATTATAAATTGGTTAAATGACCAAAAATTCTCAATAATGTACAATATTTAACTGATTTGACTTAAACCTTTATTTTTCATTTGTTCCAGAAATAAAAACTTAGGATATCTTTTAAAAACCAACTAAATTCTTATTTGACGGTTTGGAAGAAAAAAGGAAAAGAGAATAGCTTACAGATAAATTATATTTGGGCTTACTGAAAGCCTAAAATACACAACAATGTCTAGCCTTGTTTTAATGCATTGTGGTCCATTGCTAAAGGCGATTAGACTACCACAAGTGTCATGGGCCTGGCCCAATCTCGACGAGAAACTAACGAAGGGAATAACAAAAGAAGGGCGCCAGTGTACGACGTCGTCAAGACGTCAACGGGGCTCTTTGTTAAAGTAGTCGCGAGTCCAAAGCGACAAAGCAGTCCTCTGCCCTAAAACCCTTGGCTCCTCCAGGAGGCCGTGCCCTGTTGTTGCTTCTGCCAAGCCGTAGCATTCGTCTTCTTCTTTCTGCAACAATGAAGCTTGTTAGGTAAAATTTCTTTATTTTATTACTACTTTTGATATTTTCAGTCGCTTATTATAGCTGTATGCTAACTAAATTTTCAACAGATTTCTGATGAAGTTGAACAATGAGACTGTGTCGATTGAGCTAAAAAACGGCACCGTTGTTCACGGAACCATTACAGGTAGGTTCTCTTGCTCTCTCTCTCTCTCTTCCCGACGCGCTGAGATTTATAAGCCACTTGTTTTCTCGATCTGTTTTTTGGGTGAAAACAAGCTAAAGCCGCCTTAAAAATTTTGAATTAGGTTTTTCTGAGAGATTTCGGTGTCCTTTTTCTACTTTCCGGCTTTTTGTTTTACTGAATAAGATTTTGAAATTAGGTCAATAGCAGTTTAGGGTTTCTTTTTTGTACTTGTGTTGATGCCTTTAGCAATTTTTTTTGTACGTCCTTTTTTTTTGTGGATAATTATATGTTTACATCTTGTGGTGGACGTTTTGTTCTATATTTTGCTTCGTTCAGAACATAACTGAGGTGAATATTGGGTTTTGTCATTTGCTGTTGTGCACGCAATGTGAATTTTTTCCAACAGAAAATCGTAATGCTAGTATATTGAGAGGCCTGGGTTGGGAATAGTGAACTGTCAACTGCTTGTTTAACCACAGGATTTCTCCTTGTTTATTACTGAACCAGATATCAATGAATTTCAACTCTGAACCTGGATCAGATTAGCAGAAATGGGACTTGTAATTTTGTGGTGACGACTTTTGGATTGTGGACTGCAATGTTCTAAATTGTGTTGATACTGGCTTTTACGGATGACACTCTTGTTCTATCTAAATAGAATACTGAATTAAAGTAAACTTCTGGATAGAATAATAGATGAAAGAAGAGTTAGGCTGATACATTGGAAGCACTCTGACCTAGACTACAAATTTTGCAGATAAGCGGATAAGCTATGAGATGAAAATGATCTAGCATACCACATATTGCTATAGAGATCTCTGTCTCTTATCCCTGCTCCCTCTTGATGGTTGTGTGCCTTTGTCTTCTTCAATGGTTGTATTTTCATGCCTTTAGATCTTAACATCCAAATGTTGTTGCTGTTGCTCTGCATTTGCTTTCATGTTGAATTTTCAAACTGCAAGCATCACTTGCATTTGAGCACATTTTTTTTTTTAAAATTTGAATTTATGTTTATTTATTTAATGTGGTCTTTTACTTTCCTTTGGATGCCAGTTTCAATCCATGTTGACAACTACTGTCAAGTTAAGGGTTTAGAATGAAGCACAGAATGGGTGGGGGGGGGGTTACTTGAATGGCCTACTCCTGAGATGGAGAATGTTGGTTAAAAAAAAAGGCCCATTCTATATCCTAGAATATGACGTAGTTAAAATTTGAAAAGGCAGGTTGTCTTCCCAGCATATGTTCAAAATTTTCTATTTTGATAAGTTAGTTGAAGTTATGGTACTTCACTCCTTTAAATTATTAAGAGAGTTAAGTTAGGAATGTGGAGTTATATAAACTGCATCTCTTATTTAGTCAATTTCTGTGAACTATGCCATCGGGGAGTGAGAAATAGAGCCTCAATCAGTGCTTAAGCTAAAAAATATATTTTTCTATTTGTTTCTAGTCATTGAGTGCCTAAAACATTTAAGCAGTGGATGATTGGTACTCAGTGTAAATTGAAATATATACACAGTTATGGGATCATTAATAAGCCCTATGCTTGGTTTGATATTAGGAATTTGTTTACTGTAGTCACCTTAAGGTCAGATTTTAAGATTTTTTCACTAGTTTCCTGATGCGACCTTTCAAGTGCCAAATATTGGTGCAATTCTGAAACAAAGTAGTTCTTTTTTCACTTGTCTGTCTTCTCTCCTAAAGCTGCAATCCCAGTAAAACCAATATTGGGTTAGAAGAAGATCAGAAAGTTATTCCTCTTTGACTAGACAGATAGCTGGATGATGATGTATCATTGTGAAAGCATGCAGAAGCGATTTATAGTCTTTGGTTTTTAGTATAAAGACTTCAGAGAGCTTGACATAAAATGCATGTTCATGTGATCTGATCATTCTTTGTCTGGCGCTAACCACGCTTAATTCATAGTGGCTGAAATTTGATTTGCAGGTTGTTAATTTGGTGAAACGTGTATAACAACTCGGATTGCTATTTGCTACTGTATAAATGTCTACTTGAGCTATTTTTTTAACTTTTCATAACAGTTGCAAGTCAGTTTATGCTTGAGGATGTGTGTGATTTTCTTTAAAAATGCTAGAAATTCCCATTTGTTAGTTATCAAAAGCCTAGTCCTGATGCAAGTTGCTTTAGGCCCTTATGCTTATTTTGTTGCTTAATCTTGTTGGATGAGTCCATACAAACATTATGGTCTGAAACTAGTTGCTGGGCCTGCTTTCTGATAGTAGGTTTGTTGCCTTTGTTACAGGTGTGGATATCAGCATGAACACACATTTGAAGACTGTAAAACTTACACTAAAGGGAAAGAACCCAGTTACTTTGGATCACCTGAGTGTGAGAGGCAATAACATTCGTTATTACATCCTTCCAGACAGCTTAAACCTTGAGACATTGCTGGTGGAAGAGACACCTAGGGTGAAGCCTAAGAAGCCAACCACTGGTATGGAAGTTATCTACTGTGCTGATATGACCATTACTTGATGATTCCACTTCTCTTGTTCTTTACTGTCCTTCCTTGTTTTTACTACGTATTCTTCCGTTAATTTTTCTTTTTGTCTGTCATGATGCAGGGAGGCCTTTGGGACGAGGACGAGGGCGTGGTCGCGGGCGTGGCCGCGGTCGAGGTCGCTAGATCTGGTCCGCTGGTTTCAATTTTTGTGACAATCAGTTATGTAAACATGTTAACTTGAGGGATGGTTAATTAGGTCGACGGATCTCTTCAATATTATGTTGGAATTTTATGTGCGACTTATCTTTGTACTCCAGCAAATTCTCAGTGGCCAAGTTTAGGCAGGCACAGGGATGTGAATTAGTTTCTCAGTTGTGTTGTCTGATTCGCTGCTCTTACCGACTTGCAGTGGTTATATTACATCGGTATTCTAGTTTGAGATTATGCGTCTTAATCCAATGGTGAATAATTCTGATTGCCCGCGAGAATCCTCTGGTTTCATGTGTTCTGGTAATGCTTAATAATTACCGGTATTATATTAAACCATGTATCAGCCTGTTTACCAGCAGTCATATGTTTTGACTAGGATTGGTACGTACTTAGGAATACGTTGGTCGAACGTAGGGATCTGAATCTAAATACCTTTTTGTTGATTACGAAATTCAGTGAAAATTATGAGCGTCAGGATTATTGCTGCTGCGTGTACTGGATACCTTAGTTGATTAGGAATGCAGAGCAGAGAATCTTCTATTTGCCGGAAAGAAGAGTGAAAATGTGGATAGCCATCTCGTGTATTAAGAAAAGATTGTTCTACCATGATCCATGCTCAAGGTTTTTCTAAGCGAGCGGTACCAGTCCATTAGATTAGACACCACTAGAAATTGACGACCCGTTTTCCTGCATGCCCAAAAGATTCCAACAATCCCCTTATATATTTAAGAAGGAAAAAAAAAAAGAAAAATCCAACAATCCCCACGCAAAGTCCATGGCCATCATTGTGGTATGGCGCTTTTTCTCCCGTGAGCGAGAATTCGTGACGAAAAAAGATTTTAAGTTTTTGTTTTTTTTTTGGGGTAGAGAGAGAGAGAGAGATTGGCTAAGTAGGAGCCAAATTGCTTTTGGGCCCAAGTAGGAGCCGTATGTAGGAATTTGCCAATTGGTTAGCGCCATCCCCTCGAAAGGGGCATCAATGTGTCTATATACTCGGATGCAAGTCGGCGTAGCCCAAAACCCAGAATAGCGAGACAGAGATTCCACAAGCTATAATAGTAAGACAAGTGGTTAGCGTGTATCTATCATATCTAGTCGGCGCAGGGAAGCAACTTAATCAATGGCGAAGTTGAACTTAAACCCAGCAAAGTCGGCGGCGGTGGTGTTGGGAGCCCTTGCCATGGGGTGGCTGACCATAGAGCTCGCTTTCAAACCCTGGCTCCAGAGAGCTCGAGCGGCCATGGACAAGTCTGATCCCGCTCGTGACCCTGATGACGTCAGCGACAGTGCTGAGAAAACGGACGAGGCCCGCGACGAGCCTCATGCATCCGACGCCGACAAGTGATTACTTCTCCACATACTTGTTGTTCAACGTGTAACTCAATTTTCCGCTCTAATCTGCTTATGAATGTTACTGCTACCGGTTCTATGGTAGTATTAGTCCAAAAAAAAAAGAAAAAAGAGAAAAAAAAGGTCATAGCCTTCTCTGTTGCAGGAGAGATGAGATAACGAGTACCACCGCAGAATTTCCATTAATACTTACTGGCAAGTCTAATATTTTGGATGCATCATCAGCTGTTATGGATTGCCTCACTGATTAATTCATAGAATTTGAATTTCTTTGTGTTGGCAATCTTCTGTTTGTGTTTCTCGATTAAGTGGATCCTGTGCATACTTGTTTTTAGGTTTAATTATTTATTAGTCGACTTTGTTGATTTTTATATTTTTTGGGGATTTTATATATATGGACGGACTGTGGTATGTAAGATGTTATCAGAGTAGCCTCGTTCAGGTAGCAAAATTAGGAGGATGCAAAGCAATAAATGCCTTTTGGATTGATTTCCAGTGTTTGCAGATAAAACAAAGGTTGATGATGGAAATAGGGGGTGAATTGATTAGTAATAAATAGTACTGCTACTAGCAGTGTTTGGAGTGTTCATCTTAATTGCGATAATTGGACAAACAGCGACGGGACAACTAAGGGATAGACACCACCGCTAAGGATTTACTTAACAGTCATAGAAATCAAACACCGCATCGCAACCACTTGCGCAGTAGCTGGGTTCCCCAATTTATGCTTAGACAGAATATAACAGCAAAGAAGGAATTTCCTATGCTTTGAATATGGCAAGCAAAGAAGGAATTTGCTTGAGATCATAGCCATCTGTTTTCGAATGCTCCAAATTTTTGTATGAATTTATCGATGGGAGGGTAATAGATGAGACAAACCTTGTTTCAGTTTACTGGTTTGCTAACGACCCAAGAAGAGTCATCACTACGGCGGGTTCATTCTTAGACTCGAGAATATTAATGCCCGCATCTAAATATTATTAAGTGCTGCATGGTTGACGGACGGCGGGTGGAGAGCATCAAATGCCAATTTTGGAAAAATCGGTTGCCGGTTCCTTTTCCGGCATGCTCATGCAATTTAGGTCACCTAAACCTCCTCTCTTTTCCGGCATGCTCATGCAATTGGTGTACTCCATGAACTAGAAGAGTTAGGGAGGATGCTTCAGGAACAAGGGTGGTTGAATGCTGGATCCCCATCATTGATCATGTGAATTCCAGTTGAAATTCACATGAAACCCAAGACAAAATAATAATATGGAGTAGTAAACTTCCCTTCCAAGCTATTCCCATTATATATATATATATAATTACATAAAAAGACATTTATATCCGACAGCTCATATATCAAACAAATGCAAAGGTAAAAGTGATAGATAGACCAATGCCTTGCAAACAAATCATGCTGCAGTTCCGGAACCAAATAATTATAGATTTTTGTTGTGTCAGACCGTCGGCCAAAATGTAGTGTGCGGTTGAATGCATATCCAACCAAAATGCCCTTGATATTTCCTCCTAAATAGAAAGAATGTTCGTTCGACGTGAGATGGAGCATTGCCATTGTCTTCTCTCTTTAAAAACGAAAAGATAAGGAACACAAGTCGTGTAGAAAATTGTCATTTGAAATAGAAAACTGAAAGTAAGATAAGAGCTAGAAACTACGGAAAATCGTTCAAAAGATTCCTTACACTTTGTTCAATGAATTTCTTAGTGCATCATTTTTAAAATCGTAACTTTACGTACCTTACAAAATCAAATTAGCAAAATGATCCTAACCAAAGTTTTCAATCACTCTTTTTACCTTAAATCCATCACATGATGTATACATGATTTTTTTTTTTTTTGGCAAAAACGTTAGATCTCATTTGTAGTGAAACAAATTATCCGATTCATATTTAGTTTTGTCTCTAAAAAAATTAAAATTTGATCTGATTCATATTTAATTTTTTTCTTAGAAAAAATGAGATATGACTCGATCCGTATCCATTTTTTGCTCCTAAAAAATCAAGATTTTAACCTTTTCTTTCTATGTATAAAAATTGATCACATCTAGATCACATGGTGATTTTCAAACTAAAAATGACCGAAAATTCAACTAAAATCTATTAACTTTAATTTGTAAGAGACGTAAAGTTAAAATTTTAAAATTAAAGGACGAAAAAATTCATTTGGCGAGACATATGGGACATTTTAAATGATTTTCCCAATAAACTATTTATGTATGTATTGCGAGTATTGAGGGTTGCATTGTTCTTTTTCTTTAAATTTAAACTTTTGGGTCTTTACGCATTATGGAAGCTAACCATCACAAGCAAAAGCTCCACTTTACCAAGAGCGAATAAAGTGTGTTTGAGAGTCCAGTTCAAACTTCTAACTCGCAAGTTATAATTAAGCTAGGCTTTGTTTGGATTTGACTGTTTTTAATTATAACTTACAAGTTATAGTTAAGCTAGGCTCCTAACTTACAATACTACTAGTGGGAATACCCGTGCTATGCACGGTGCTGACATTATTGAAAAAAAATAAAATGGTGAACAAATAAAGGTGAAAAAATTTTACCAACAAAATTAAAATATAATATCTGTTTAACAATAGTTTGAAATATAATAGAATGTATATATCATTCAAGAACCATCTTTTTTCGGTTGTATGAGAATTTTTTTATCATTGTATGAGAATTGTTAACAAAAAAATATAATAGTTAATATAGAATAGCATCAATAGAATTTAATACAATTGTGTTGTAATCAAATGAAAAATACGCACCAACTGAATTGTTATTAGCACCCATAGTTAATGAAGTAATCCCTATATAAAAATATTTTGGTATATGTAGTAATTGGTAATCTATAAAATAAAATAAATTGCTAATCTATAAAATTGCTAAGTTGTCTATAAATAGCATCAATAGAATGTAATACAATTGTATTGTAATCGAACAATTGTAATACAATTGTATTGTATTGTATCTATAGTTGATTTAGCAAGATAGTGCAGTCAAAAAGTGTGTATGTAAGATGAGTATGACGATATAAGAAACTGTATATTTACCATGATCACACAAAATCATTGGTGATGTAGATGCCTGACGATCTCGAGGACAGTTAGATTTTTCATTTCTTTGATCTAGAAATAAAATATATATTAAATTAAAAATCAATAGTTTATGTATTTATTTTATGTGTAAATAGTGATACATTGTATGAGAACTGTTAACCAAAAAAATAAAATAATTAATATAGAAATAGCATCAATAGAATTTAATAGAATTGCATTGTAATCAAATGAAAACAATTACAGAGAGGTGGTTACCAGAACTAAGGAATGCAGTTTTAAATGCTCAAAAATGCATTGACGATTGCACATATGTCAGGCGCTTGGTGAGTTTTTTGCTCCTCTTGAATCATTTTCTTTTTTCTAATTGTAATATATTACTTGCAGGTGTTAAGTAGGACTTGGCTCTAACCTTTCGTTTAAGTACTTTAAGCAATGAACTATTTATTCCATGAGTTGAATCGTGTTGTTGCTAGATAGATGAATCACGTAGTTGTAATTGTCATTGTTGATAAAGAAAAGAAAGGCTAGAATGCAATTTTGCCAAAAGGATTTCTGACGAAATTAAAAATTAATCCAATTTTAATAATGGGTGTATAGTGCTTTAGTTATTAGTAGTATCTGAATTGTTTTTCTCCAATTATAAATCATTTTTAATTATTTTTTTTAATTATCAAAAAATCTTTTTTTATTTCATGCACGATCATTTTTGGAATAAAATTATGAAAATAACTATCGTAACACCTATTTTATGTGATAAATATGCAATAAAAAATAATTAAAAAAATTTCAGTAATACAAACAAATAAATGTTTATAATATACAATTTATATTAGAAATAGTAGAACCCTCAATCATGAACCTATACCATCCGCAATTATATAAGCAAACAATACCTTTTTATCTTTGCTTTACAGTGTAACAATAAGCAAACAACCGTTCATAAGATTTTGTAAAAAATTTTCAGAAATAATGGATGATCAGAAAATCAATGCAATATCATTCATGACAAAAAACAAAGCAAAAGCAAAACATACTTAAAAGGCAGAGGGGACTGACCTGAAAAATTAAGCCGGCCGCAAAAAGGTTGATTTCTGCTGGAGTCTCTGCACATAATATCTTCCACTACTACTCACAAAAGAAACAAAATAAATACATTTACAAAATCAATAGAGAACCCAAAACAAATAAGAAACTGAGAGAGAGGGTGAGGGAATTAACTCGATAAGTTAATTAAGTCGATCAGTAAAAGAAGAATTTGTAGGAGTAATTGTAGGATGAGTTAAGATAGTGGAATAGTGGGAGTGACATAGTGGGAATATTGATGGGTGATAAGGTGATAGTGGGATAGTGGGAATATTGATTGGTGATAAGGTGGGTTATAATCCATTACTTTTTTATGTATTAAAATAAATACAAAAATATGAATTAAGATAGTGGGATAGTGGAAGAAAGATAGTGGGGATATTGATTGGTGATAAGGTGATAGTGGGATAGTGTGAATATTGATTGGTGATAAGGTGGGTTATAACCCACTACTTTTTTATATATTAAAATAAATACAAAAATCTAGAAAAAAGTATGACAAGTTTAAAAGGCATTGAGAGGGTTTCTGCTAAAAATCCCTTCCTGAATACATATAGATATAGATAATAATACATTTAAAAAAAAACAATTTCAAGAATTAGGCGAAATAATTCAAGGTAATCGAGAGAAACTACATGAATCCCATTTTGTTCAACAAATTCTAAAAAGAAAAATAATTAGATGAGGAAAGCAAATGACAATAATAATACTACTTATTATTTGAAAAATGTTATTTATTATAATATTAAAGTACTTTTTATTTTGTGATATGATATATATGAAATAAAAAATAATTAAAAATATATTTACGATTTAAGTGAAATAAATTTTTTCAAACACATGTACTTCCCTGTTCCGGAGGCAATGGGGAGCGAGGAAGGGGGTCCCGGTCCTGGCTTGCGATTCGCGAAGATCGTCATTGGTCCACTTAATGCACGTTGTTATTGACGGGCCCCCTACTACGCGTCCAGACACTAATTACACATTTAATCAAGCCGATGACCTAATCGAATAGTAATCCACATCTCCTCATCTTTGCTGGCTGGAAGAAAGGAAAGAAGCGTCTGCGTCTCCTACTCCAACAAGGCAACAGCTTGTCCCCAGTCATAGTAATAATGGCTGTGCCTCCAACTCCTCCCCAGTCATATTACTAGTAAATACTACTACTAGCTATCAGAGCTCACTGTCACTACTCTTCATCACCTTCTTCTTCTTACCTTACCCAAAAAAGATCTCTTCTTCCATACCGTTCCCATCGAAATCTTTTACAGTTCCCTACTACTGGTACTGGGTCATTTTTATTCTTTTTTTTTCAATCATCATTATTGCGTTTTCCAACCCAATTCATTGTA